CTGCTATCGCTAGGCAAATCGCCGCAGCCACGAGGAATGGGACGAGGCGCATGTACTCGAGTAGCTGGGAGGCAAACACGAAAGCCAGAGTGGCTGAACCCGCCCAGAAGTCCCAGCTGGCAGCGAAGGCGCCAAAGTCGTCGACTTACAGCCTTCACGCGTTGACGGGCCTTCCCTGCGTGCACGTGCACAACCCGAGCGTGGTGCCAGTCCAACAAGTCTCCAAGCTAGTGGGCACACTCAGCATGAACAACATTGACGCGTCAACCAAACTGGAGGGCGTGAAGCTCGTGATGCCGCTGGGGCAGGCGTGCGTGCCGGTCGAAGTCACGACGGGCGACATCTTTCAGGACATCGGCAACGAAACCATCCGAGGCCGCTCGTCCCGACGGTGGAAGAGCGGATGAAGAACGAGCCCATATCGCTGCATGCTGAGCTCACGCTCAGCACTCTGTCCGTTAACCTTTTGGCGACGCACATCATGGCCATCTGAGAGAGAGAGATTTAGCAATACCAAACAACTCTAACACTCACACGTCATTTGGGGCCTGGAGCCCCTGCACAATGATGTTTATGGTGGTTTAAAGTTTGCGGGGGGGGGGGGGGGGGGCACAGCTTTACGACGGTTTTGGGGATCCTGCCGACGCGCTACAGTTGTAGCCCCACTGCACATAAGATGGACACCTCACCGGGAGGGCCCTCGCAGCAGCCGGGGCCGACGCCTGCAGCCTTAGTCTTGGCCCGATCCGGCGGTATGCCACGGGTAGGCGCGTTGCGGCTTGCCGCCTCCTCTGCGCCAACGCGGCCTGTGCCGCAGTTTGCGATTGCCGCCAGACAAGAGGAGGAGCAGAGCCGTTTGGCGATAGGGCCAGGCAATCGCATGCCCCGTGGGCGTTGCGGACCCTAGCACGCGCCAGTCCGCACCTGTGTCGATCGAGCCTGTCTGGGGCACAGTGGTCATAAGTGGAACGACTACGTCGATAAGCAAGCTGACCTCGGCAGGAGCGGCGCGAGGGATTGCGGCGCTCCGGAGTGGCAAGACGCATCTATCCCAACGGACGCAGACGACGGGGAGAGCAGCACCGTGGGCGACGACGTGGTTATTAACGGAGGAGGTACAACCATCCCACTCGACGACATCGGTGATGGGGCCTCTAGGTCTAGCTACGCCGATGACCCACCCGACTCCCCGCCCTGTTCACGCGCGCGCGAGAGGTCTTTGCTCACATCGGGCTGGAGAGAGATAGGATTGTGTATCGCGCGCCTTGCGGGGGGGGCGCGGATTCCTACCTAGGTAGGATTCCTGTGAGGGCAGCTGACACCAGCGGGTCCATGCCGTTCGGAAGGCTGCGTCCACTTTGCTCGCCGCCGCTGCGGTGGCAGCGCTGGTAGGCGCCCTGCGACTCGCGCCGCTCCGGTGGGCAGGCGCCGGCGGCGCGACTCTGCTGGGTGAGGCGCACATCCGCGGTGGCGCTGATGCTCGTCGCTTCGCCGCGGCCATGCATCGCGAGGCGGCATCCATCTGGGAAGAGGATGGTTTGCGCTGGTACACAGCCCTGGCTGCCGACGGAGCGCGCGTGGAGAGCACCCGCATCGATCGCGGTCCTTTCAACCGCTCCGGTGTGCTGCTGACACGAGGCGCCTTCACCATAGCCAATGTCAGCGCATCCGCCGTCTACCGGCTGATGACGTCGCCGGAGGGTTTCCAACTCATTGACCCGCTCTCAGACCCCGCAGACTTTGCCAAGTACAAGCAGCGCTTCCGCTGGGCACGGGGGCGACTAGAGGTCGCTGAGGCGCATGCGCCACTGCCAGCGCTGTTTTCGCCACGAGAGTTTTGTGTGCTCAACGCCTTCGACGATGGACGGCGCACCTTTGTCTCCAAATCTGTGCAGCATGCCTCGATGCCGGGCGCCTCGCTATTCGCCGCAGCCGGCGAGCCGCCCAAAGGACGTGTGTGCGCGCTCAACACGTTTGCGCTGCGCACATCTCCCTCAGCTCTTGCACGCGGTGGCTGCTGCAGCTCGCGCCGCGGCGACGTTAGTGTCTATCTGAAGGATGAAGTTACTTCAGGAAGTAAGAATTCACTGCACTATAGCACGGGCTCGCACCCCCCAACCGCTTGCCCTGTTCACGCGCGCGCGAGACGTGCAGACAGGGTTGCCAGGGGTCCCGTACCATGCGGAATCGACCCTATCCAGTGCTC